TTCTTTGCACAACACAATGGAATAATATCCAGGAAGCCAATGCGCTGCTGAAGGGAACCCCAATGTGCCATGAAGATGTCAAGACAAAAGCTTCAGCAAAGCAGGCTGCTTTTCACTGCTCACCACAGTTCTCATGCAAGAACTGATCTTCCCCTGAGAATTCACAATCTAAGAGTTCACCTCAAGCATGGAGCTACACCACAGCAGAACATCATTCCCATTCAAATTCCACTTCCCTTCGTGTGTTTCAGCATGCACAGCACACACTGCCCTGTGTATCCTGGAGTGGGCTCCATCCTGAGCAGTGCTGGCAAACTTCCCTGCTTTACAACTGCAAATAGGCTTGAGAAAGGAAGGGTCTGGTCTTTGAGGGAACACTGCACAGCGACTGGGGCAGCGTGTGCAGACTAGCATAGAAGTGAGTTTGCCCCTTAATTTTTTTACTGTAGCTTTTTATTGTAAGGTGCAGGAGAAAACCAAGCACAAGAGGCAGAAGTAAAAGGGTGTTCCTGAACCCCACTTGTGTGACCTGCCCTGTCCTGCAGGGAATCTTCTCTTTGAACAATAAAGACCATTCCTTTGCAGGGGAGAACTGTCTGGCTGGGTAATTACAGCAGTGTTAAGTTCACACGTGAAGCATTTTAACAAAGAAGCTAATCTCTTCGGGATTTTAATTGCTTCTGGATTTCTACCACTCATTAAGAGCACCATGATCTGTGGGGCAGAAACAACTCCACCAGCTGCAGGTACAGGCAGTTGGGTCTCACACCACCCAAGACAGCAGCTTGGCTCCAGGGTTCTGCTGGCTCATCCCAGCTGTCCCTCCAGGGCACAGGGTTTGAATCCCAGTTTACAGACACCACGGACCTCAACTCATCCCCTCAGCCCCTTGCATAAAGAGCCCTCAACCACACTTTGGCTTTATAGCTCTGCTTTACAAGAGTGTACATGTGCCATTTCCTTGGGAAGCCAAATAGTTCCAGAGCAGCCAAGTTTCTCCCACTGACTTGGACTCCCTCATTCACTAGGAGCCCTCAACACTGCAGCGTGGTCTGTTGAGGACCAGACCCAGCACTGACTGCCCTCCCCTCCGATGTTCAAGCCTCCAAAACTCCCACTCAACAACTCCAGTAGTCAAAAAAGCATGTATTTGTTTTCTTCTTTCTACACCCACTTGCAGACTCCAAAGTTCTACATGCCATCTGTGCAGCTGGACGCAAAGTAGACACAGCACCACATACATCCAACGCTTGCTCCTGAGAACAGTGTGTTCTCCTCATGTCCACATCCTTCTGCTTCCTTTGGAGTGCCTCTTGCTCCCAGCAGCCTCCCAGGTCAGGAGGAGCCCCCACAAAATTCACAACAGGAGATGGAGCTTAGAAAAATTTATTTGCCTTTTTTTTAGTAACAGGAACTGTTCATTTGCCAGGAAGGATGATGCCATCATACTGTGAGGGAAACAAAAGACAGGAGCAAGTGAGAATGTACCACCAGGTAGAGGTGCAGTGCTGCTGTGCAGGAAACCGAGCTGCCACATTCACCCCAGGCCAGGCAATAGAGACATGAAACACTAGCTCTCGGCAGCCAGCTGCTCTGCTGGTGGCTTCCAAGGAGGGGACAAGCACTAAACTCTGCTCAGCAGCCCAGTGAAATCAGCAGCCCACCCACCCACCCCTCACAGGCAGATCTGACCAAACTACACTCATCCCTTTTACAGTCCAAAGATACAGGTCCTGGAGGAAGCTACACCACAGCAAGCAGAACCACTCTGCAGGAGCAGGCTGGCACCTTCCCACACAGGGTACAATAACATAGGTGTGGGCAGAGCCTCCAGACAGACCATCCAACCCCTTCTACCTTTGAAAAAGCACCACCAATTCCCATCTGAGCATTTCCAGCTGAGCACTCAGCATCTTCCATTCACTGCTCAGCCTGGCTCAGAGCTGTGCACAGATAAACCCAGCCAAACTCCTTTCATTTGGACTACTCCATCCTCCAAGTCCAGCAGCTGAGCTAGGAGCTGTCAGACAAATCCTAATAACCCTGCCTCACCATTCCTGATCCACGCACGTGTTAAACACCTGCAAACACCACCTGAGAGACTTACACAAGAGCTGACACTCCCCCAGCTATGCTGCTGCAACTGCTCTTTGAGTTCAGCACACACAAGAGAGGCATGACCAGCACTTGCACCCAAACACAGCCCCACTGCTGCAGAGCAGCAATAATCAACAATAAACTGATCTCCATCTCCTCCTGCCCAGTGACTTGCTCCCTGCTAGGAAACTCTTGGGATACAAAACAAAGCTGGACTTTACCTTTTGCTGGAACCAGCGCATGGCTTCTTCCTTCCCAATTCTGTGCTTGGCTCCGATGTTGCCAGTCCTGCGCTTCTTGTCAGCGATGCTGAAACCAGGCCTGCCCAGCACCTGCCCCGAGAGCAGACCCACAGCACTGCTTTATTCTGCCACCGATTTTCTTACACTTCACAGTTTTTTAGGATAGAAGGCTGGACCTTCCACATCAGTAACGTCTCATTGCCCGATTCACATTCAAGACCCAGAGCGTTATCCTCAATGTAAATACAAGACTACAGGGAGAGCCCCTGGGGTGTGCAACTCAGCACCTATACTGGAGAAACTAAAACAAGCGTGGAAGATCCATACCCACAGGCTCTAGAGAACAGATCTACCGGCCAGCACTGCTAACATGGGTGGAACAGCTTCCCTCTGCTTCATACATTGAACATGAGGCACAGCACAATGGAACAAATGAGACCCACCGGACCTCACACAGCAGAGAGCCTTCCAGCAACAGCCATCCTTCTGCCTGCATTCCCAAAGCCCCTCCTGCACCTTCCTCCCCCAAACCCAGCACAGCCTCTTCAGTGCTACTTCAAGAGTACCAGTACAAGCAGCAGCACTTCCTTCTGAAGGGGCTTTGTGTGACACATCATAAACCTGGAATTCTATAGCCACCCCACTCAGTTTACATTGGAATTTTTGGGGCATTTTCTACCATGCGGAGCTGGGCAGCAGGTTATCATTAGCAAGCCAGTTATCATTCTAGGTTCCTTCTAGAGCTTTCACACAAGCTCAGTGGCTGCAGGGAAGCGGGGGATACGCACCACGTAGAAGTCCAAGCCATAGATACCAATGCTGGGATCGTATTTAATCCCCAGGTCGATGTGCTCCTGGATTCCAAAGCCAAAGTTCCCGGTGTCTGAGAAGTTGTTTTTTCTCAGCTCGTATTCTCGCACCTGCAACAGTGATTGTCAGTCACTATTTCATCATCGACTGCAGAGGCAGCAGTCCTGTGTGTTCTACCAACTGCCACCATCCCAACTCACTTACACGCTACTTCATCCTTAGCCCTAAGGTTTTACACCCAAAGTCTGCTCACAAATCACTGCAGCAGAGACAGAACTCCAAAAGAAAGCAGAAACCACACCAACTCACTTTTAAAAACAGATGGAAGAGCGAGCAGAGGAATGGTGTAAAAAGAGGTCCGTATCAGGATGTATCTGGGACTGACCTGTCACCAGCTCAGCTACAACATTTCAAAGCACACATCTCTTCAGCTGGGGCAGATTCAGTTTTGCTCTTTCCCAAATCAAAGATTCAGACCAGCCAAATTCTTACCTTCAAGCCTTTCTCCAGAATCTCCTCTGCTTTGGCCCCACGAACCGTGCAATGAACAGCAATCTTCTCATTTCTTCTGATTCCAAAGGATCGCACAGTGTATCGAGCTGCAGGCAGACATAACTACACTTAGAGGCTATTCAGAGGATTCCCACCCAGGGAATTCATAAACAGCTTAAGACCAGCAAAGAAATCAATTTAAAAGCAAGGGAAAAGCATCAAAGCAAAGGCAGGTTCCCTCTCTGGGGGGAGAGGGATGAGCAGCAGCCCCAGCCTGGAGGCAGAACCGACTCCCACCAGCCCCGGTACGTTTCAGGCTCCCAACTCTCACCGCCAGGCCAGACCTCCCCGAGACCCCCCCCCCGCATGCTCAGGGAGAGGCACCGCGGCTGGAGCCGGGCAGCAGCCGCACCGGGCACACGCAGCCTCACCTTTGGAGAAGACGGGGGTCTGGCCCGTCAGCTGCTCCAGCACCTTGGCCGCCCGGGTGAGCCTGTCCCCGCTCTCCCCGACGCAGATATTGAGGCACAGCTTGCGGATGCGCAGCTCCCGCATGGGGTTCTCCTTCTCACCCTGGTCTTGCTGCGGACAAACGACACGGAGGGTAACGGGGGGGATGCCGGGGACACGGCCGCCTGCTCGCCCCACAGGCCCGAGGAAGCCTCATCCGGCCGCCAGGCCACGGCCTGTCATGGCAGCCGCTTCCCCAGTGCAGCCCATCGGCTCTTCCCTACCCATCCCGGCCCCGCAGTGCTCCCTCCCGGCCTCCCCCGCTCCCTCCCGCACTGGCGGCGGCCGGGCCAAGCCCCGCCGGGACCGGATGGCGGCGGATAGAGACAGCGCAGCCCATAGCAGGCCCCGCCACTCACCGCCATGATGGAGGCGGGGAAAAGACCAGCTGGGTGCCGCCGCGGGGTCTTATGGGACGGAGCGGTGGCAGCGCCCTCTGGCGGCCGGAGGACTGTGTGGCGGAGCCCTCACCGCCGTGAGCCCTGCCGGAGCCCCGGAGGGGTTGGAGCTCCTCCCTGGGAAGGGGAAGCCGAACGCCGGTCTGGATCCAAACACCTCTCCCGGTGTCCACACGCTGAGCTGGACGCCTGCAGCGCGGCTCTCGCTCCGTCCGGATGGCACCAGCCCAAGTCTGCCCCTCCTTCTCCCCTTCCCCACCTCCGGGGCCGGGCTCGGGGCTGCCCGGTTGGACTCTGTCGGTGCCCTCGCTTGTGTTTTGCCCCTTCGCTTCCAAAGGAGCAGCGTTGGAAGGGCCGGGACACGCCGGACCGCAGCCGGTGCCGGGCTCAGCCGCGGGAGGGCACCAGGAGCTGGGGCAGACCTCACCCCCTTCCGCGTGACCCGCTCCGGCCGCCGGTCATGTGCTCAGCCAAGATGGCGGCGCTCAGCGGAGCGGTGCTGGCCGTGCTGGGGCTGCGCCTGTGCTGCGCGGCTGCCGCCGTCCCCCTCGTTATCTGGCACGGGATGGGTGAGCCTCGGGAACCGGGGCCGGGCGGGGACAGGAGCCGTGTCCTCCTCCGGCTCTGCGGAGGCCGGGAGGTGCTGACCCTCCTCCGCCGGGCCTCGGTGGGGGCCTGGGCAGCGCGGTGATGGTGCGTTGGGGTGTTCCCTTCCACAGGAGACACTTGCTGCAATCCGCTGAGCATGGGCTACATTAAGAAGATAGTGGAGAGTAAAATACCAGGGATTTATGTTGTGTCTCTGAAGATTGGAAGCAACCTGATACAGGTAATGGGGTGCTGCGGCTCGTGGTTCTGCGGGGCTGGGTGTGGCAGGTCTGAAGGTGCAATGCCTGCCTCTGATACTCACCTGATTCCATGAGGATTCCTGTTGTGCTTTCCCTGCTAACCTTCTTTGTGAAGCAAACAGCTTTGACAGGTAGAAACTAAAGAAGTCTAGGTCCTGTCTGCAGAAAAGAACTGGGTACAACCAAATCCCAAGTCTAAATTGGATTAATACACAACCCCCCTAATTAGCACTCTGACCACCCCAGGTAACATGAGGGCATATGATAAGATACTGTGCTAGAGCAAAACTTTCTCCCTTACCCCCTTTTTGATTTACAAGCATTTATTCACTGCATATCTTTAGTATAATGAGGATTTATTCTGTGCCTTTGTGGGGTTTTGGCAGTTTTCTGTAGCCCTATGGGATTTCTTTAGTCTCTCAGGATTCCACTGCACTGTGTATTATTTCCTGGGATCTGGAGGAGATGGGTGAAGTCTGATTTGTGTGGGTTTATCTCTATGTATGTACAGGCACAAAATCTGAAGGGACATAAATTGCAAGAAGCCTGGGGAAACATCCCTGTTCTGTATAGGGCAGTTTTGGCAGGCAGAGTAGGAACCAGCCATGAAGGGAAGTGTCAAAATGAGCATTTCACTTCTGTCATAGTGGGGCAGCTCAGGTCCTCTTTCAAAAGCAAAACTGGAAGCGCTCCATGAGCCACTGTGAAAGGACAGGTTCTATGTTCTAATCTATCTAATCCCTCAGGATATGGAGAACAGCTTCTTTATGAACGCAAATGACCAGGTGAGAGAGGTGTGCAGCCAGCTGGCAAAGGACCCTCACCTGAAAGGAGGCTACAATTCCATGGGCTTCTCCCAGGGAGGCCAGTTCCTGTGAGTTTACCTTTGTGATCCATTTCCAGGGGGTTCTGTAGGGTTTGGGGTTCTGATTTAAAACTCTTGTGAAGAGCAGCACAGATGGAAACAGACAAACCCCTTCCTACAGGCAGGAGCGCTCCAAAGAGGCAAGAACGCGTTTGCCTGGGGCCCTCCTCCACCAGGAAGGGTTAATTCTCTTTGCAAACCTTCCCCAAGCGCCCAAGCCCACACTGTGGCAAGCTGAGAGCTGTGGGAAGCTGTGAACCAGCCCCGGTGGCTGGCACGTGGAGCCAGCTCAGCACCTTCCTCTTCCCACACAGGCGGGCGGTGGCCCAGAGGTGCCCTTCTCCTCCCATGCTCAATCTGATCTCCATTGGGGGACAGCACCAAGGTAGTGTCCTGTGAAGCCCTCACACCTCCTAAACCACCTTGGGAGGGGGGGTGTGCTCTTGTTTTTTTTACCTCTTCCTAAAATCTGACCATTTTCTTATGAATTACCCTGTCCCTTTGTTCTCCGAACCTCATGGTCTGCTTGGGCCCAGTTGTCAGCAAACTTTGTTATCTTGTGTCTTGGTCTTGTTTGACTGGCAATGAGAAGGGGCCTTTGTAAGTAGATAATTTATTATCTGCATGGAATTCTATACTTTGGAGCACTTGGGATTAGTTGGGATTAGGCAGAAGAAACTACTAAGGAGGGAGCAAAGCCTTGGTGAAACGAAACCTTCTGGGTCACAAGGGTATTTTACAATCAGCATCTGGAAGGTTAAAGCTCCGAGGAACGGGAGGTGCTTTTTGCAGCAGATAAAAGGCAGTATGAAATGGCATTGAAGAGCTCTGCAGTTGAGGGGCTGGCAATGAATTTCAGATTCTCTCCCCTGAGAATTTCCAGAGCTTGAGTCTATTTCTTTGTAGTGTAGTGGGAAGACTTGGAGGGAACCACCCCAGACCTCCTGGGAGCACAGCCGCTGAGCTGCCTGCTGTTCCTGCCTCTGCTCTCCAGGGCAATACCTTCAGCCCAAGAACCCCCTCCATTACCTCTGTAACTGCCGGGGTGGGAGGGCTGCCTGATGAGATTGCAGGATTAAAGGCTACCTGATCCCCTGGGTAATTCCTGCCGCTGCTCTGTAAGAGGGTGGTTCTTTACCAGCCAGAGGGATTAAGGGATTTCAGTTGCACGGCTCCGTTCCCCAGGCGTGTACGGCTTTCCACGCTGCCCTGGGGAGAGCTCCCATATCTGTGACTGGATCCGAAAGACGCTGGATCTGGGTGCCTACACACAAGCTGTTCAGGAGCAGTGAGTATATTCCTCAGGCTGCGGTAGCGGGGCCACGTTAGAAGCTCTGGGTTTCTGTCTGATCTTTGGTTGCACCCTTTTCCAGCTTGGTACAAGCAGAGTATTGGCATGATCCGCTGAAGGAGGATGACTACAGGAAAAACAGCATCTTTCTGGCTGACATAAACCAGGAGAGGGTGAGGACCTGGGGTTTCCTTTGCAGGTGCAAAGGTGCTTTCCCTGTCTGTGAGCTTTCCAGGGACTTGGATCTGCTGTTGCTTTCCTCCAGGGCATCAATGAGACGTACAAGAAAAACCTGATGGCTCTGAAGAAGTTCGTGATGGTGAAGTTTCTCAATGATACCATGGTCGACCCCCCGATCTCTGAGGTGAGGCAGGCAGGCTGCTTCTGGGTGCTGCTTCAGTGCTTGGCTCTGGTTTGTCCTTTGATGGCAGAACCTGAGGTTGCTGAGGCTGAGCCCAACCATAGGCCTGATACTGCAGGGGCTGGTGAGAGCCTCCTCATCTGGAACCCCTTCAGTAACCGAGTTCTTGTTTTAACTCCAACAGTGGTTTGGGTTTTACAGAAGTGGCCAAGCCAAGGAGACCATCCCACTGAAGGAGACCTCGCTGTACACAGAGGTGCGTTCTGCTGGGGCTGAGGGCTCGCTGCTCTTAACGTTTTATAGCATCCCTGGGGCCTTGGGGGGCTCTGACCCCCACAGCTCTGCTCTCCTGGGGCATCGCCTCTTCTTTGCAGCAGCTGTTTGGGAAGGCATTTCTGTCCAGGCGAGTTTGGGCAGTGGGAATTACAGTGGTGGTCTCATGCTTGTGCCTGGCTCAGGATCCCCTTCAGCCTGTGTTTAACACACACTGCTCCTTTCTAAAGCCTTGCTGTACGTCACCCAAAATGCCTTTTTCCCCTCAATGAGGAGAAGCTTTGAAGAGCAGAGGTGGGACCCACCTGAGCCTGGCAGCCACTGCTGTTGCCCCAACACATCAGCACCTTCCTCTGTGCCGGGTTCCCCATAGGAAGGCACCCATGGTCCTGCTTCCCTCCACAGGATCGCCTGGGGCTGCAGGAGATGGACAAAGCAGGGAAGTTGGTGTTCCTGGGGGTGAAGGGGGATCACCTCCACTTCTCCGAAGAGTGGTTCTACACCTCCATCCTCCCCTTCCTCCAGTGAAGCGAAGGGGAGGGCCCAGTGAGAGCACTGGGGGGGGTTCCACCACTGTAGTTAAAGCAGCTGCTATGGGGTAATGGCACTTTCCATGTAGAGCCTGCAAGGATCCGGGGAAGGGGAGGAAAAGGGCCCTTAGCTCAGCAGCTCCAAGGGGCACGGTGGCACCTCTTATTAAGAGAGCAGGATTTCTCTGGGTGGAACTGCACTCCCGTCCTGGTGCACTGAGCCTTGCCCTGGCTCTGAAGCCCTTTGTCCTGCGTGGGCCTGGGTAAGTCTGCTCCAGAGGTTTCCTCTCCCCTTGCCTGTTCTCACAGGCCACAATGGCAGTATTAACTGAATGCACTAGTGCAAGAATTGAGCATCTCGGCAGGATGGCTGTCTGCAGAGGAAAGACATTAGAGCCCATCCTTCAGGACTGGGGCGGGGGGGAAAGGGGCAAGTTGAGGTGTTTCTGGGGGAAAAGGAGGGGTTTGCATTAAGCAGGTATTAACAGCTTGAAGTTTGCAACTAATGGCACTTTTGTACAGCAATCGGAACCAATAAAAACTTTAACCAACTAAAACCAGGTGAGATTCAGCAAGTACTGTGTGATGTGAGGAGGGGTGTCAGGAAAGTCTGTATGTGCCCATGGGGAAAGCACACAGAGCACGTTGGGCAGCTCATCCTGTGCCCCCAAAGAGCAGACAAGAGCCACTGTAATGAGCAAGTTGGCATTAACTTTATTCTATCTTCTGTATAATCTTAAGTACATAAGAAAGGTTTTTTCCACAAGCCTCAGGAGAAGACGAGTACAAGTCACAGGACAGTCTCAAAATAAAAAAAAATTGCATATTTTTGTGGGGTTTTTTTTGTAAGTTTTGTACTAGAGAAAAAAAACATTGACACTTTACAGAGGAAATGCATTTAAGATATGCTTATGCCACCCGAGGCGTTGGAAAAATGAAGGTCAAAGCACGTGCAGCTCCCTTTGTGGGCAGTACAGTACTGTGCCTTGGCTCCAGCGCTGCTCCAGGGCCCTGGAACAGGGGCTATGAGCTTCCACCAAAGGAAAGAGCCAAGTAACAGGGGGAGGGTGAGAGGATTCACTGTATGGGGACCGACTGCAGATGAGGAAGAGAGTGATGAACCGATGGGATCAGCTCACGTACTTACAGTCCTGCACTCCTGACCCTGGGCTGGAAAGGGACAGGCTCAAAGAACTGCCCTGGAAGACTGAACCTGAGTTCAGCTGCTGCAAGAAGGAAGCCCTGGAGTGAAGATTCCCCTGGGAGAGCGAAGAGCTCATGGAATATGAGGTGCTCAGCTCCAAGATACCAGCCAGGAGGGAAGCGCAGCCCCTGCGCTGCACTCATCCTGTGGCACTGGTTAATAGAAAGCCTCCTGACATGGCACAACTGGAAATGCACTGAGCTAATAGGAATGATGAAAGAGAATTGGGGGTGGAATGCTGCAGCCCAGCTCCTCAGCCTTTGGTCCCACAAACCCATTCCCAATAATGCCACCAACTAGTACCTAGAGCTGGAATTAGCAGCTTCCAAGGACCTTCTCAAGACATCCACCATAGCAAGTGGGTCCTCGGGACCCTGACAGACACCGTTACTTGTTCAAAAGGGCACAACATTCCTCTCTCACGTGAAGAGTTTCCTTAAAAGCAATGTAAAAAACTCCAAAAGCCAACTGCCAGGACTGGCTGTGAACCTCACCATCAACCTGACTCCATCAATTGGTGCAGTGAGACCAGACAAGGGGGGGGAGGGAGGAAAGAGAATTCACCTTCCTGCTAATAGATGTGGACAATAACCGACCCAGCACCTACACCAAGCCCCAGTGCCGGCAGGCAGCTGTGTCTCTCGGGTAGAGGAGAAGCAGTTTGAGAGCAGAAAGGTACAAGAAACCTAAAAGAATCATCTGAAAGCAGATTTGTCCCACAGCAGGGCCAGGGGAGGACGTGAGCCTTGGAGCTTTTGTGCTTAGCCAGCAATTTCCGTCACAGTGGTAACCAACTTCTGACCGTTCCACACTGTCTTGAACTGTTCTGGGACAGGGAATTCAGTCTGCAGGGTAAAAATAGAAACCTATTGTTAGAAACCAGCTGGGGAAGGAGACCAGGAACTCCTCCCACTGCTTCAGACATTTCTTCCCTCAGATACAGGCTGTCCCCTCTCCTGTAGCACAAATGCTGCCTGTTCTGCCCCAGGGAGATCCTGAGGAAGCAGCAGCTCCCACTAACAGCAAGTTTCTTGCTATAAAGAGCAACCAACTTGATTTGCTGCTTTTAACATCAGATCCACAACCTCCACAACCCAGAGCCTGGAGCTGTCCTTCCAGACCTTGCTGTAAGAGGTCTCAAAGGGGGCTCAGAGCACTCATCCTGCCCTGCGTGACACCAGGCCCCCGGAGCCAGCTCCATCCCGACACTCACAAAGTCCCCAGCCTCGGTGGGAATAAGGACGTTCATCTCGGATGACTTGGCACTGACGATCTCGCAGTCGAGGGAGCTCTTGCTCAGATACACGTGGCAGCCGTCTGTCTTGTTGATGGAAATCGTTGGCACTTTACCCATTACCTGCGGGCGGTCAAAGCAGCAGTTAGAGGAGCGGTACCTGCACCCAGGCGACCACAGTGCTCTTCTTTTTGCCCTTGCCTTCAAGGCAAGAGGTTTGAGCCCAACCCTGGATGCACCCCTGAGTTACTTCTTGGTCTCTTTAGAACATACAGGGAACAGTGAGCACATCCCAAATCAGACACCAAACCTTGGATCAGAACAGCCTCTCCTGCTGGCCTCCTGCTTTGGCAGCCCTCCTGTGCTGCCCGCCTCACACAGACTCAGCTTCTAACCAGAGCCCTGAAGCAGCTTCAGTGAGGCACATTTCAGCCCTTTCCTAAGGGCTGGCCAAGCACCAGAACGTTCCTGTTCTGGAAATAAAGCTACCCAAGGAGGCAGATGCTACAGGCACCGGTTTGACAGCGCAAGGCTCCCACTGCAGGCAGAGAACAGGTTGCAGGCACTCACCTGAACTTTGATGTCCCTACTGTTTATGATCTCTACGATGCCCACCACGTCATCAAAGACCAGCCCTAGCTTCTTACAGTTATCTGCAAAGACAACACAGAGGAAGCCACAAGAAGGTTATGGAGGCTCACAGCAGCTCGCAGCAGCAGCAGCTCCTCTCGGGCCTTCTCCACTTACCGAGGGTGATGGAGTTGATCTTGCCTTTGATTTGGAGCGTGCTATTTGTGCACTTGAAAACGTACGCTACCTGCTTCAGCTCTGTGTCGCTGATTACCAGGTTAGTGGCATTCTCCTGGTTTTCCTGAAGAGGCAGGGAAGCACATTGTATTCCCTGAATGCAGACCAACTGCTCCATGTGAAGAGCAGGGCAGCGCAGGAGACCCTCCTGCCCTGCTGCACAGCTCCCATCCCTCCCACCCGCTCATGCACTCACCACTCTCCACTTTTTGCCCTCTAATTCTAGCAATGCAGGTGCCTTTGGAGAGGTTTTGGGGGCGGGATTCGCATTACAGGCTGGTTTGGGAGCAGTGAAAGGTTTGGGTCCACTTCTCACAGGACCCCCTTGGTTCTTCAGGGCTGGATTCTTGTGGGTTTTCATGTCATCTGAAACATGCCTTAAGCCTGCAAGAGAAGTCACACCTGAGGTCCGGTCTCCTCCAACCGAGGGTGCAGCTTCACACACACCAGACGTGGGTGGTTACAGCAATCCCCACAATTCCATTGTCAAAATGCAAATGGAACTAGATGATCTTAAGGTCCTTTCCAAGCCAAACCATTCTGTGATTCTATGATTACTGAGACTGGGCCTAAATTGAGGTCAAGCACAAGTGGCAGCAGTGAAAGAGGGAGCAAGAAGACTGCTGCAATATTGATGAGAACACAACAGAAGGCACCAGCTCTTCCACTTCTGCAGGAAAACCCCCTCAGCCAGGCACCTCACTGCAGTTTCTGACTGTCCCCATACACTGAGCAGCTAACACAAACAGGGAATGAGCTCTGTGCTGGTGTGAATCGGTGCAGAACTGCACCTTCTCTACTGGCAACGTGCAGGAAGCTCTTTCCTTTCCAGCCAGGGATTAATCTCTTGCCACGTGTGACAGATGAGGCTGAGAGATCCCAGCTGTGCTCCCTCTGACCCCGCGAGCTGCTTCAGGGGTCCCAGCCTCTGCTCTGAGGAGATGGCCCCTTGTTTTGAGCAGGGGTATTGAGGGAGAGCAGCAAAACAAGGCCTCCCAGCACAGGCACCCTGGCTCGTGGATGCCCTCCCTCGGGTCCCTACTTCACCTACCAGAGGTGATGCCTTCGCCCCGGTTGATCTGGGCGAACAACGCGGAGCGGGAGGCAGCGTCGTCAGCGCTGGAGCTGCTGGGGGCAGGAGCAGGAGGTGGAGGAGGACCCGGGGGGGGAGGCGCAGCCCCCGCGGGGGGAGCAGACGATGACTTGGTCCCTTCTGTGGCTACAGGACCCTGCAAGAGGCCAGCAGGGGAAAGGCAATTGCACAAGTTCCGCGCCTGCTGCGGTAACCCCGCAATCCTCCTCTCGGAGCCTCCTGCGGCTGCGGCACTCACCGTTTTGCTCCAGGTCAGCCCCGTGGTGTGAAACTCTTTGATATAAGCCTGCAGCTCTGTCCAGATGCTCAGATAAGCTTTCACCCAATCCACTTGCTTTTTATCTCTGAGGATACAAGGAGATCGTGAGGAGCGACCAGGTGCATTTGCCATTAAAACCCAAGGACTACAAACGGCTCTTTACATCCCTCCACCCCTCAGCTACAGGCAGGACCCGGCCGGGCCAGCCCAGCAGCTCACACCTCCAGCACTGTGCTCTAGGTTCAGCATTCACCCTGCACCTGCAGGCAGGAGGCCGCAGGCTGCTCTGCACTGAGACCGTTTTAACTGAGGAGTCTGGTGCTTCCAACAAGACCCATCCCCAATGTGCTGCCCTGGGAAACAATTCAATGATGGGAATGCTGAGACAGGAGCAGTGACAGAGATTCCAGCTACAACAGGAATACAAGGAATCTTGTCCCTAAGGATCAGGAAAGAACAGCTAAGTGAGGCTCTATAAATATACCCTGCCTTTAAAAAGAACGAATCCAGGACCAAGGCAGCTGTAGTTGGATACTGGAGCAGCCCCTACATACCCAGTTAGTTGTGTTCCATGGCATCTTTAAGGAAGAAGGTGAACTTACACATCCTTGTACTCCTTGAGGATCCGGTTGGTATAAAACATGGCAGCATCGGTCATTTCCTTCACATAAGGACCAGGCTTTGGAGCCTAGAGGAGAAAGAACACATTGGCACGGAACAGCCCACCAGGGAGCCGGACTTCTCCCACCAGCCCAAGGAAACCACTTCCCGCTGGACTCCTCACCATGGCCACCCAGCCCAGGGCAGGGATGCTCTCGCTGACGGCTGATAAGTGGTTGAAGAGTTTGCTACCACGGTTCTTCTCCCTGAAGTTCTGCACCACCTGGATTTGCTCCGAAATCGGTTTCAGAAGCGATGAGAATGCATTCTGCAGGACAGGAGGGACGATGAGAACGTTACTATTGCTCTGGAATGGGCTGCTCTGCTCAGATGAGGGTTACTCAGAGGAAGACTCTGACTGTTACAGCTCCTGCCCAGGCTCGGCCCTCCCCATGAGCCACACTCAGCCCCACAGCCTCGCTCCTCCAGGGCTGAAGTCAGAGCTCCCAACTGGATTGGTACAATGGGAGTACGCCAAGAACCGTGACTCATGTTCCATCCAAGAGGCACTGACAAAGCCCGTTAGCAACGAGGACCAGAAATAGCATTTGCCTTTCCTGGGTTCTTTTGCTCCAAGACAGTTTGTCAAAGTTTTCCTCTCCTTTAGAAGCCCTCAGAGGTCCAAGGCAGGATCTTGCCTTTTGGGATCTACAGCCTGCGCGACAATGGGGGTTGTGCCATTTCTCAAGTCACCCCATCAAGCTGGACTTCAGGATTGAAGCCAATGCTCCTCAAGCCAGTCCAAGCCTTTCATATCTGGATGCTAAGAACTGTGTCTGTGTGGTGTTCACCTGGAATATTGACTGGGTGTGCTTGGAAGTTTGAGGGCAGAGCAGCCAGTTCCAGACTTCCAGAGATGCCTCGGGCATCTTTGCTTTCCTTTAAGCTCAGGCAGTCTCCTGCTGGTGGCAGCAGTGAGGGACCAGTCTGGGCATAACTTGCTTTTCAAAGCCTTGGCTTTTCCTTTTGATGTCCCCTTCCACCGTTTCCATGCAAAGAGAGGTTCTGAGCCCCAGTGGCCAGGCTCCACTTCCAGAAGCTCCAGCCCAGCACCACCGTCAAAAAACAGGATGGGCAAATTCTTCACCACAAACAATGCCAGGTCCTACGTTTTGCATTTGACCTCACAGAGCACTGTGTGCAGTTCTGGGGTCCTCTAACATAAGGACATGGAACTGTTGGAACAAGTCCAGAGGAGGCCACGAGGATGCTCAGGGGCTGGAGCACCTCCTGTATGAAGACAGGCTGAGAGAGTTGGGGCTGTTGAGCCTGGAGAAGAGAAGCTGCGTGGAGACCTCAGAGCAGCTTCCAGTGTGTGAAGGGGGCTATAGCGATGCTGGGGAGGGACTCTTCATTAGGGACTGTAGTGACAGGACAAGGGGTGATGGGTTAAAACTGAAACAGGGGAAGTTTAGATTGGATCTAAGGAAGAAGTTCTTTACTGTGAGGGTGCTGAGGCACTGGAATGGGTTGCCCAGGGAAGTTGTGAATGCTCCATCCCTGGCAGTGTTCAAGGCCAGGTTGGACAGAGCCTTGGGTGACCTGGTTTAGTGTGAGGTGTCCCTGCCCATGGCAGGGGGTTGGAACTGGATGATCTTAAGGTGCTTTCCAACCCGAACCATTCTGTGATTCAATCTGGCTGCTCCAGAAGTGACAAGGCTCCTGCAAACCAACCTGCACAAAACCCTGCACTAGATTAAGCTTGTGTGTGGTTCACAGTCCCTGATTTACACAAGGTGTCAGTGGCATTTGTAAGCAGATTCCCAGCCCAGAGGCTATGCAGAGCAGCGCCCCAGCAAGCCTGGTGAAAGGGAAACAACCTCCAACGCCGAGTTTGGGGAAAGAGATGCAGCTGGGTTTCACAGGGAATAGAAAAGTAGCACAGAAATCCAGCTACTGGTAACAGGAGAAGCCATCACTGAGCCAGATCATAACTGCCAAGAAAAGCAAGGTGGGATCCTGTTGCTCAGGATAAACAGTTCTCAGCAGGGAAAAGCCAATGCATTTGGGATCAGATTCTCAGCCATGCATCCTGCAGAGAGGCAGCAGCCCAGGGTATAGTGTTAAATTACTTGCTAAGGACAAATCGATTCTAAAAGCCCAGCTACTCAGAGGCCATTCAATAGAGAGGAGCGCCTGTTCTCCTTCAGGCTCACATAATGAAAAGCACACTCTACACAAATCCCCCCATGGCTCCTGGCCCAGACAAGTGTCTGTCTGCAGGCTGCATCTCAGGGAACAGCGATTGTGCAGTGCTGGTGCCAGGTGCCACTGGAGACAGGCACCACGAGACGACACTCAGAGGCTGCTCAGCTACAGGAACCGTGCCGCTCCAGTGCCAGGTCTGCAGCTCCCAGAATGAACCTCAGGAATTCTGCTGAGCAGTGGTGAGCATCCGGAGCAGTTCTTGCTTTCAGCAAGCACCACCTCGTGCTGCGAGCGTCTCCAGCCCTCCTCCAGTTCCCCTTTTGGAGCAGCTGTAACGGCCCAGGTTCCCCTGTGCTTGCAGCCGTGCCCAGCTCCGAGGTAAGAGCATAAAGGCTTTATGAGAAGTGATTTCCCACACTTACCTCTGTTGGCTGCTGATGTTGAGATGCCATCACCAGGAGAGCCCTCTCGCTCATCAAACCCGCATGAACCATCTCAGCCTAAGAACAGAGAGAAACATGAGGGAGCTTCCCTCGTATCCAGCGTAGTGCTGGGCCGTTCAAGCTCCTGCTGCCCCCAGCTCCTAGTCTGTAAGAAAGCAGCTTGCTGAAATCAGAGCATATATTCATGGAGACACCCATCCTCAGAGTGCAATAGCTCTCAGGCTGGGTAGTTCACAGGCCTCTTTTAAAGGCATGGACTCTAAGGAGAGCTAGACATCTAACTACCAAAGGTTGCAAGGAGGAGGTTTTATTCGTCATGTGTATGTAAAGAGAAATCTGCTAGGGGTTATCTAGGCATCGGCATCTGCATCTGCCCTGAATCCCCAGGGATTATAAACCTCCTAGAATACAGCACTGAAGGAATGTTTATAGTGTTGTCAGCAAACACTGACAGCACATTTGGCCCATAACAGCCCTGAAGGACAAGCAGCATCTATGTGAAGCAGAGAGAGAAGAACACGAGTCCTTACATGCTTCTGCACATCCCCACCAACTTCTTTGCTGATCCTGATGTATTCAGCTACTGGGCCAGCCAGGAGGACATCGAACGCCTGCACGTACTGAGCCACTCCTGCAGAGAAGGAACCAGAGCACAAGGATCAGCGAGAGGCACTGGGCTGAACCTCACCCAGCTCCCATCACCCACAGGCAGGGCTCAGGCTGAAGCACGCAGCTGAGCAGGGGAGCTGCAGGCACAGGAAGTCCTTATCTTGGCAGCACCGTAACCGCAGCAGGATCTGCTGCATAACTCAGTTCCCCTCTGCACAGGCAGGCCCTGCAACAGCCCCTGCACACCCAGCCCATGCAACAGCCCCCGCACACCCAGCCCATGCAACAGCCCCTGCACACCCAGCCCATGCAACAGCCCCTGCACACCCAGCCCATCCAACAGCCCCTGCACACCCAGCCCATCCAACAGCTCCAGCACACCCAGCCCCTGCAACAGCCCCTGCACACCCAGCCCATGCAACAGCCCCCGCACACCCAGCCCATGCAACAGCCCCCGCACACCCAGCCCATGCAACAGCCCCCGCACACCCAGCCCATGCAACAGCCCCCGCACACCCAGCCCATGCAACAGCCCCTGCACACCCAGCCCATCCAACAGCCCCTGCACACTCAGCCCATGCAACAGCCCCTGCACACCCAGCCCATCCAACAGCCCCTGCACACCCAGCCCATGCAACAGCCCCCGCACACCCAGCCCATGCAACAGCCCCCGCACACCCAGCCCATCCAACAGCCCCCGCACACCCAGCCCATCCAACAGCCCCCGCACACCCAGCCCACGCAACAGCCCCCGCACACCCAGCCCATGCAACAGCCCCCGCACATCCAGCCCATCCAACAGCCCCTGCACACCCAGCCCCTGCAACAGCCCCCGCACACCCAGCCCATCCAACAGCTCCCGCACACCCGGCCCCTGCAACAGCCCCCGCACACCCAGCCCATGCAACAGCCCCTGCACACCCAGCCCCTGCAACAGCCCCCGCACACCCAGCCCATCCAACAGCCCCTGCACACCCGGCCCATGCAACAGCCCCTGCACACCCAGCCCATGCAACAGCCCCTGCACACCCAGCCCATGCAACAGCCCCCGCACACCCAGCCCATCCAACAGCCCCCGCACACCCAGCCCCTGCAACAGCCCCCGCACACCCAGCCCCTGCAACAGCCCCCGCACACCCAGCCCATGCAACAGCCCCTGCACACCCAGCCCATGCAACAGCCCCTGCACAAGCACTGCAACAGCCACTGCTGCGGTTCAACTCTGCCACAGCTCCCAGCTGACACTTCAGCACAGGGACTCCCATGGGATGATGCTGCTGGGGAGGTGCTGAGGGCCTTACCTTTGGAAGAGCCATCTCCACACATGCCAGGCCCTTGGCACACCGTCTCCAGGCGCTCCACAGCCTTCTCCAACCGTTCCACCAGTCTTTCCATATCTAGCACCGTCCACAACCTGCACAGGCAGAGGACAATTGTTTGCACCCTCGGAAGGATGAAACTCAAGACACCAAACGTGGAAGAGGGCTTTTATCAGCTGCTCTGGTGCAAGCTCTACCAGTTCAGAAGGGTAATTTCTACCTAGCTCTGCGTCCCAGTGACAGCAGGGTACCCTCACGTTAGCAAGGACATTTGGATTACTCACAAAGCCACCCACAAAGCTACTTTTTATTGCCACAGCCACTCCTTACTGGTCACACAGTTCCTACTCCAGTCAGTGAAAGAACTTCTTGCGCATATAAGAATACAAAACTTCCATCTCCTAACCTTGTATCGACACCACTCAATAAACCAAAGGTGTGCTCAGCATCTCACTGCAGTCAGCACTTGGCCAAAGCCCAGCTGTGACCATAGAGCACAACTGCTTCAGGTTAGAACTGGGGGGGGCTTCATTCTGCAAATGCACCTGCAGGGACCTCCTGGAGCCCTGAACTGCTCCAAGGAACATCTCTAACCTTGGCATCACTTCAGTGCAGGCCATCAGCGTGCCCAAGGAGCCTCCCTGGCACCCGCTGCCATGTGCAGCTGCACCAGTGAAGGCGGCAGAGCAGCCTCTGCCACAATGGGCCCCTGTTCCTCCTCCTCCACAGGCAGTGCTGAAGCACAGAACCTCCTCTGCAGGCGCTGCACAGGAAGGAGGTTGAGGGGCGCGAGTCCTTCGCAGAGTCTCATCTGGAGAGGGCTGGAGCCATAAACTCCCCATTCACTACTGCTCTGCAGAGCCTCTGCCCCAGGGAGCAGGACAAGGCACGCTCCAGGCGCACTCATGCACGGGGAATGCAGGGGGGCAGGCAGCAAGTCACCAATCCCATTTCCATCTTATCACGGCTCATTGGAAGGTTTTACAACGTGAATCACAATTATGGCCTGGCCACAGCTTCCTTCTTACTGCAAGAGCCCAAAACCCTGCCTGGAGGAGCACGGCCCTCCCAGCATACCCAAAAAGGGAGGCAGGGTTTGCCCTGCCGCCTGCAGGAACTGATGCAGGATCTCCCTCGGAAACGCCAGCTGAACTTCTAGGGAGGGTCTTGCTTTTGCTCATGAGCCCTCTCGGCCCTGCTCCAAAGTTCTCACCCCGCTTCCCGAGGATGTGGGGCTGATCCAGCATTACTCACTGATGTCACAAGACAAACAAGGCCGTTTCCACCCCGCTTTCGTCTGCTCGCGTCAGAAGCGGCAGCAGCACTGCTGGGGGAGATGAGAGATGCCAGCCCCCCCTTTCCAAGAGGAAGAGCGCGGTTTCCTCCTCTGCGCAAGAGTGAGCCAGAGGACGCGCTGCGCATGGAGCTGCACGGCAGTGACCGGATGGCTTCCGGGCACACAGAAAGTTCAGAGAGGCCAAAACCTGTGGGCAGTCACCCATGTCATCACCAGCCATGAGGACCTCCTTCCTTCGGAACCCTGTGCTCCTGAGCACAGGCGCATCAGTGCTGCCGCAGCCGAGGACGATGCATCCAGAACGGGGCTCACGTCTCCAAGTGGGAGCGCAGCCAAGAGCGGGGTTCTGCCTCCCCCGCACACCACAAAAAGGGTGGGTTTCCCCCCTTGCACAGAGCCACCTGTTAAGGAAATGCTTCGAGAAAGCAGCGAGGGAAAGGGGTGCAAACGGGGCTCCAGGAAGGGCACCAGGTTTATGGAGCGCCGGGCAGGCGAGGCTGCTGTTCTGCACCACCGATCCCCAGCACATTCCACACGAGGCTCTAATCTGATCAGCCCCATTACCGAGTCACAAACTGCATTGCAAATCAGGATGACGAACCAGAAAGTCCAGATGGAAAGCTGCTTCCTACCCGCAGCAATAAAACACGCTGCTGCGAGGAGCGTATCGCATCCGTTCTGGATGCGCTGTCGGGATTCATGTCCTTCTGCAAGAAAGAGGTCCTTGAGAGCCAGGTTCCTTGCTGTTTGACACGGCCTTCCTGGGTTTTCCTGCCCGAAGGCATGAGCTCGCATTGCTCGACACCAGCCCTGTGTACCTGATGCTATCTGCCCGATGGTGAACTCCTTTTCCTTTCTGTTTCATGGGCAGCATTAGGACAACTCACAAGATAAATCACTCGGTCAACCGGCAGCAAAGCCAGAACTAATTGCAAGCAGCACAAAGTCCTTGAGCAGGCAGCTCTATCTTGGTTCCTCCTTGCTAACACTACCTTGACTCACCCTTGCTATGCCCTTTCCCCCGTGGATGCAGCTTTCTGCTACCTACACACCCCTGTGGAGTGAAATAAAGAGCTTCAGATGTAACTAACCTCCACAGGCAGAGTCTGCAAGCCAGAGAGGTTAACATTTAGCTAGGGAAAGAAAGATCACAAGGCAGACCTGCCTGGGCTCCTCTAAACAGCGTTGTGTCTATCGATCACTTTGAATGCAAGGTCAGTACCGACACGCTGCCTTTGGGGCTCTCAGTACAGTGCACATCATCAGCTCCCATTTGCCTTCTTTAAAGGGGAAGCTGAGACACAGGTCACTGAAGCCTCATTTCTGCTCAGCACATCAACCTGTGCTCAGGAGGAAAGAGAAAAGCATTCAAGCTTCACCACGCTGCCAGGAGACAGCAGTGGGGCCGAGAGGAAGCTCTCTTTTGGGACTGTAAAACAGGACTTAATCTAGGTCTGGTTTAAAGTCAATTGAACTTTGATTACCAGTGGAGCGGAAGCTATGGACTCGCAGCAAACACGTGTCACCCCGGGCCAGAAAGCCCATTTGTTTTCCTAGCACATCAAGTTAATTTATTACGTCGCCTTTATCTCTGTCAAAGCTTGGGAACGTGGGTTTGAACATCCTGTACCACAAACAGGCTTTTATCCACGCCTGCACCCTGATGATCAGAGCATCGAAGGGAAGGCACCAGGTACCCAGAGCAGACCCTGCACCACGGCACAGTACGAGGAGTTTCCTGCTTGGAGAACATCAAGGAGCCGGCACATCCAAAGGCTCCTCAGAGCAGTGAGTGAGTTCACACCAAACAGGCAGAAATGAAATGCCTCCGGTTGCCTGGGAGAGCGCATGAACCCGAGCCCTCCCTCAGGCGTTCTGGAAGGCACAGATAGCAGTTTCACAGCCGAAGCCAGCCCAACCTACGCCTCTGTTCAGATTCAGCTTTTGTGCAGCCCAGCACACGCTGTCGGCAGCACGAAATCTGCATCAGCTGCTTCCTGTTTCGACAGGCAAAAGACGGGATCGAGATGGGACAACTAAATTAGGAACATACCACAGTTTGTTTCGGAGCTGACACTGGGATCTCTCAGGGGATCAGCGGCCGGATGATTTCCAACATTTCCCTTTTCCGAAAGCCCAAAGAATTCCTTTTTCAACAGTTCAGCTCCTTAAGGAAGGAATTACTTGCAGCGAGACGGGACTCAACTGCCTGAATTTGGTCGGGTGACAGGACCAGCCACGAGCACAGGACAGCTATTGCCATCCCAGCGGCTGCCAGGGCAGACCTCTGCTGCCTGCGGCACACTTGTGACACTGCTCCAGACCCATGGTGGCTGCGGCTGGTATTTCACAGCCACTTTATCTAGAAACCCAAAAGTGCGTAAAGAAAATAGCACAATCCATCTGGACCCTCTTTAACTCCCCCAAATACCAAATCCTGCCCAAGTCATTAAAACTGGGATTTGGGATTTCTACTCGAACATTAGGAGATGGTTAAAGCATCGTCAAAGCAAGCACAAGGGCTCTTTCTGCATCCCAATGATACAAAATGGGAGGTTTGCACTTGCCAGACTCCCCTCATTCCCATTCCCTGTCAGCCCAATGAATCCACCAAGGAAGTAACTGAGGATCCTGGATCTAAGCTAAAGTGGACACGGTACCAAGCTCTGTGTCAGGAATTCAGAGGCATCCGAACCCTGGGGGCATCCCTCCCGAGCTGCGCTGCTCAGGCTTGGCTGGACTTTGCTACACGAATAACGGGGGGGGATTTCTGGCTTTCAGAAAGCTCAGGAATACCGCAGGGACACGAGGATGGCCTCAGGAAAACGCCGGGAACACATCAGCTTCCCGATGCCAGCTTCCCGGTTTTAGCGATGGGCATCGACAGCCCAGGCCTTGCGAACTGCAGACCCCGACATGCAAAACCCCACGACCTGAAGCACGAAACATCCATGGGATTTTTCCCACTTTGCTATCCCAAGAACCAGCGCAGTCGCACCTTTACCCTGGCCTAACCGCAACCGGAACGCAAAAGACGGCAGAGAAGCAGCCACAAGCCGAGGACAGGAGCGACCCCCGGGGCCAGCAGAGACCCCGTGTTCGGGAGCATCCATGCTCCGGGCTCCAGGAAACCCACCCCACTGCAAAGAGCTGCCCGCCCCATCCGAGCACACGCGGCTCCCGGCCGGACCGACAGCCCCCCCCCCCGGGAACCGCCCCGTCACCGGGGACAAGCGGCCTCGCAGAGCTCGGTACCCCCCTTGCCGGATGCAGGCGGGGGCACCCCCGGGGCCGGGCCCCGCGGTTCACTCCACGCAGGAAGCCGCGGAGAGGCCCGGTCACGGCCCCGCTCCGCCACCCAACGAACCCGGAACCAAGGCGGGTACCGGAGCCCCGCAGCCGGGCCGGATCCTCCCGCGGTCCCGGTCCCGGTCCCGGCCTCACCTCCGCTCCCGCCGCGCTCCCGCTCCGCCGCCGCCCCGGCGCCGCCCAGCACCCCCCGCGCCCGCCGCTTCCGGCCCCCGCCCCGCGCGCCGGAAGTGCGCACGGCGCGGCGGGGGCGGGGCGGAGCTTCGGTCAGACACCGCCTTGCGATTGGTGGGAAGGGTTGTGGGCGGGGTCAGAGAGAGAGGAGGGGTGTGGTCAATGGAGGGGCGTGGTCTCATTTGGGGGCGGGGCCATGTGGGAGCTGCCGCCGAGGGAGGGGAGGGGTCGGATGGGGCCCGAGGCCACGGGGAGGGGCTCTGGGGTCCTCGGCCTGCCCCGGGCCCCGCAGAGGGGCTGTGACCCCCATCGGGGGCAGGGCTCTCGGCGCCCTCAGCGTGTCCGGGACCCCCGAGAGGCGCCGGGGGTGTTTCGGGGTGCTGGACCCCGGTGCTGTGCGCAGGAGGTGGCTGCCGCCGCTGCTCCGTGCAGCAGAGATGCTTCTGCTGTGGGCGTGCGCTGGCTCGTCCCCGGCATCAAAACCTTCCTAGAGGGCTCCCGTGCTTAGGGATAGGGAGCGCTTTGTGCTCGGACCCTCTTTGACCCGAGGGTCTCGGAGCGCTCAGCAGACGCTGGGTAAATGTTGGTGTTGTCGCGGCTTTGGTGCTGGAGAGACCGAGACCAGGGCGGTCAAGGGCAAAACAACCGGGAGCCAGGCGGAGGTACCCGGGGCCAGCCCGGGGTTATCCCCACCCAGCGCCCAGCGGCTGCTTCCACCGTCAGGGCAGTGTTTGCTCTTCAAAGGTGCCTGTGCCGTGGTCAGAGGAAGGGCAGCGGCTCCCTCCTGCTGCAGGGAGCTGGGCCTTGGGGTCCCCGCAGGGGCTTGGAGCTGCCGTCGGGTCTGTGTGCACAGAGCCCCTGAAGCCGGGCCACGTTGACGGGACGGGAAGGAGGAGGAGGAAGCGCGCTGAGCTCGGCCGCCTCCAGCACCGCTTCCTGCCCGCTGCTCCGTTACCATAGATGGTCACGTCTGCCGCTGCGGAGCTCCCAGCGGCCACCCAGGCTCCGTCTGCGGGAGCCCAACCGAGGGCAGCGGGAGCGGGATGCCCGGAGCGTGGCTCTGCTGACCTCTAGTGAGGCGGCTCCTGTTGCTCCGAGCTCCCTGCGAGCTGCAGCAGCGCCCGAAGCCCTCGGAGGGTTTGATTCTTCAGCACAAAGAGTTGGGTGTCCCCTTGGTGCAGCCCCGGGCTCCCAACCGCTGCCCTGGCACAGCGCAGAGCCTGCACCATTGTCCTCACATCCTCCCTCCCAGTTACAGAGGAGCCAAGCGGCTCCCTGCAGTCACTGGTGCTGTTTGTCTGATATCCTGGTTTCTTGCCTCATTTTCCACCCTGCCAGCGCTTGATGTGCCTCTTGCAGCCGTCAGACGCGTCTTAGGATCAAATGACTTGATGCGAAACAAAGATACAACTGCCTCTTTGGTCTTCAATGACTTAGACTTCATAGCATCCTACCGCAGTCACAGCAGTGACCAGACACATCCTGCCTCCTGGTGCAGGGGCCGTGGGGATCCCGCTGGGCAGTGCAGGCAGGAGCTGTTCTCTCAGCTGCATCCGTGAGGAACTGGAACTAAAGGGGAGGGAGAGCTCTGCTCACCGGCCCCATGCCCGTGTGTTTGCTTCTGGGGTGGGTCCCTTCAGCTGAACGTGGTTCCTGGAGGAACAAAGACCAAGTTCCTGGTAAGGCTGGGTCAGAACTGCTGCCTGTTTACAGAAGGACTGGAAACCACGTTGGTGCTCCCGGTGCCTATGGACCATGCCCAGCACTGTCCTGGCTCTCGGGAAAAGCTTACAGCTTCCTTGTGCTGCTGCCAGGTGGTTTTGGTGCCTTACTCCAAGCACCGTAGGGGTATTTCCTTCTGATTTAGCCCCAGAAAGGCTGCAGGAAACCACCCCACTGCTCCATCCGCCTCTGTTCGTGTTGTGCGGTGCCTCGGCTGCTTCCATCCTTGGAAAGGATGGGTTTGCAAAACACTAACCAAAGCCCACCCCAAGGGGCCGGCAGCCTCCGGTCTGTGTTTGCAGAGAGGGTGAGTGACCCCATGCAGGTGGCACAGACAAGGTGAGCATGGGGACAGCCAGGAACACCTCTGTCCTGTGCAGCTGGCCTGGGAGCAGCGTTGCCAGGACCATGGACCTGCCCACTGTGACTCTCTTTGAGGCTCTGGCAGTCCTGCTTCTTCCCAGAGCTTCCCAGGCCGACTTCCAGCTGGATCTGTTCCCTGATGGACTGCACCAGCACAGCAGGGTGGCTGCACTGTGAGACACCCCTTTACGTGTGAGCCTGTGCTTGGTTCAGCTGGAAGCGTCTGTGACACCAGCACTGCTGCAGCGTGGAGCACGGGTCCTTCCTCACCCATCAATCTCTCCTACTGCGAGATAAACCCCAGGCTTTGTGCCCTTTCCCTGCGGATAAGGAGGGGGTTATTCCTCACCCTCTGTAAGGAGAGACTTTTCACACTGCCATTTATCCCTCATCGGGTAACCAGACACAGCATGGCCACTCTCAGCTCAGGGCTGTCCCTCTCACTGGCACAGCCACCCTTGGTGACAAACAGAGGAGATAAGGCGGGTGTTGCAGGTTCCTGTGCTGCCCTTTGGAGGCTAACACTGAGATTTGCTTGGTTTTAGCCTTCAGGGGACACAAGAGCCCTGGGGTTGGGGTGAACGTGTCTGTGCCCCATCACCTCCCAGCCCCTCTTCTGCCTTCCTCCGGCACATCCATTGCTCATGGCCACAGTACAGGGCAGCACCCTCCTGAAGACCCCCCCCCGAGACCTTTGTGCTGCAGGAGGCAGAGCTGCCCCCAGTGCAGGCTCAACTCCGTGCACTGGGAGTGCTGGCACCCAGGCTCCCCAAGAGCTCAGGGTGAGACCTGCAGCTTAACCGGAGAGCATGGGGTGCACCAATGTACTCTGGTGTCAGTGGAGGGGTGTCTGCAGCAGCCTGCGTGCAGAGCAAGCCCTGGGTGCTGGCACCTGCACCTCTGTACAGTGAAAGGCTCTTTCCCTTGTGAACAAAAGGGAACAGAAACCCCAGCACTGCTCCAGACCCAGGAGAAGGCTGCCCAAGCCCCTGGCACCGCACGGGTAACCCTAATCCAGCCTCTTAAAGCCCATCAGCTGCAAATCGGGGCTGACTCCCAGCACCCACACAAGGGCAGCACAGCCCCAGCCCATCACGCGTTAGGGCACCAGCTCAGCACCCTGCTGACCCCCCCCATCTTCCATCTCCTGCCTTGGATTTCACCGTGCACCAGCTCCAGCCATGGAACCGCAGCCCTGCAGGGAGCAGCCGCACACTGGGGTGCATTTGCTCCATCAGGGTTCGTGTGGAATGAAGCCCAGCACAGCTGCTGCTGGCGCTGGCTGGAGGCACAGGCAGCATCTCCCCTCAGCTCTGGCCTCAGAGGCTTTCTTGGTGCTGGCAGTGAGAGCCCTCTGCAAGCACAGCTGAGGCAAGAGGCAATCTCTGCTTCAAGGCTGGAGACCTGCCCAGGGCTCAGCGCTATCAAGCTCCCAGGGCCATTTTTCCACCCCCCCACCTCTTTTAACAGCCTCAAATAGAAGAGGTGCGCTCAGGGTGGAATGTCTGGGCTCCGATTCAAGCCGTTTGGGTCTAGTCCCTTGAGCTGGCTGCAGAAAAAGCCCCATCAGAGATTCCTTGTGAGCCCCACATCAGCAGACCCTGAGCGCTGCTGGAGCCCTCTGAAAGGGAAAGGCAGCAGCAATCTTTCACCCACACCCCTCAGAGGCAGCCAGGGCAGGGGTCAGAACACACACAGCAATCTCGAGTCCTCTGCTTGGCTGGACGCTGCCTTCCTCCTCCTCCTCCTCTCATAGAGGACACATACAGCTCCCACCTGCCCTGCCATTGACCGCTCTCCCTTGTCCCCCCCCTTGCTTTGGGCTGTGCCTTGCCCCATCCTGGGGGTAGCAGGGGACACCCCGGCCATGGCTCTGCTCAGCACAAAGCCAGCTCCCACCCACCCCGCTTCATCCCTTTGCTGTTTTTCCATGACCCATGCGTGGTGGCAGCGTGGATCCCGCTCCCACATTCCCAGCTCCGGGCTAATCCTTTCCGGCTATTTTTAAACCCCCATCCTCATTCTAGTCCTTTGTACCCAAACGTGGAACAAAAGCTGAGCCCCAGACCCCCGCTCTCAGCTCCAAGCTCTGGCCCCACGGATTTCTTGCTGTGACAAATGGACTTCACAAAAGGCACCAGCCCCGTCCCCCAGCACCGTGCCCATGGGATGGGACACAACCAGCGCAGTCCCCTCACCCCGGGGTTGCTGGGGGCTGCTGTACCCCTGGAGCATCCTCCTTGCTCACTTTCCCCTCTGCATCGCAGGGGTGCGGTGCTCCCGTGAAGCAGGGCTCGGGGCTCTCCCCATTCCTGCTGTGGGGTGAGGAATGCAAGAGCAGGGTATAAACACCCAGGGCCCTGCCCCGGGAGAGCGCACCCAGTGCCACCCACAGCCCCCATTCCCCGCTCCACAGCTGCCTCTCCCGGTTCCAGCCCCGGGCTCACAGGCTCCGCTGGCAGCACTTGGGTTTCATTCCTCCCTCCTCTCCTCTCCTCTCCTCCCCCGTTCGCTCTTGGAAAGGAGGAAAAGAATAGAGCCTTTGTTGGGCTGCCGCAGCAAAGGCACCGAGCGAGGACTGCACGGGGTAAGGGGCTGCCGGGCACAGCCGCCTGCCTGGATTATGGCATTCCTGTGCCTTTGACTCGGGGGAAGTCAGCCCTGCCCCTCAATGCTGTGCAAAGGGACCCTGGGCTTGGGGACAAAAGAAATGCTCCAGACCCACGCTGCTGGCTTCCCGTTTTTATGTAAATTAATATTAATAGGTCCTCGAGTTCCGTCTCTGTACACATATATACAAATAGGGAATGGTTCCGTATTTACATCATTAAGTTAATTAGGATCTATAAAAAAGAACAGCTTTCCAAATTGATGTCCTATGTACAGACAGCAGAGGTGAGCCCACGTCCTTGGCGCGGTCACATTGAC